TGTGCTAACCATAATACTCAATCATATATCACCTCTAATCTGTTCATTCCCTCATCTGTTTCAATACAATATATTTTATCCAGTTTTTTTCTGTCATACCCTAACCCTGATATCAGACCCATTCTACAACAGTGGCACCATGCAGTATTTGGCCCTTTGTGACTGAGATATTTCACTCAGCATAATGTCCTCCAGAATCACCCATTTTGAATAATATTGCATGAGTTCCTTGTTTTTCAGTGCGGCGTAGTATTCCTTTGTGTGAATATACCACAGCTTCTCTATCCATTCGTTTGTTGAGGGGCCCTTAGGTTGCTTCCAACTCTTTGTAAACAAAGTTGCGATAAACATGGGTGTGCATATATCTGCTTGGATGGCAGACATGGTCTCACTGGGGTATATTCCCAGTAATGGGATTGCTTGGTCAAATGGTAGCTCTATTTGCAATTTTTTGAGAACTCGCCACACTGCCTTCCACAATGGTTGCACCATCTTACATTCCCACCAGCAGTGAATAAGAGTTCCAGTTTCTCCTCATCCTTGCCAGCATTTGTTGCTTGCTGTTCTGTTAAATTTTGACCTAGCATCTATTTTTTATGTGCTTAAACAAAAAATGTTTTTGCATCCCTCTTTTTTGCTTATCTCTATTAACCCTTCATCATTTATTCTTTGTGTAAAACCTTTTAAAATTAGTTGTCTAATACTATACTTGTCCTTTTGTGACTAATGTTACTAAGTATAATTTGGTTGGTTTCTTTTGTTTGTTTTTAAATAATTTTTTTCTTTGTGTGTGTGTACCATCTAATAAGATCCAGCTGGTACAGGAAGATACTGCCCTTTCTTCTCCAGCAGAGCATCTGGTGGATTCAAACTGCTTGCCTCTGGAATTGCAGTGCAGCTTCTTGGCACTAGACCACCAGAGTATAACTTGTTTTAATTTTGTCCATGTTGTATTTCGTTTTAAATATTATTTAATACAAATTTTGACTTTCTGTTTTCAAGAATTGACCGTAGTTTTTATGTCTTGTTTTTCAGACTCACAAGTCCCAAGAGACAGTTCCAGTGAAGATTCTCTTTTAGAATGGTTGAACACCTTTCGCCGGACTGGTAATGCAACCCGAAGTGGACAAAATGGAAACCAGACATGGAGAGCTGTGAGTCGAACAAACCCAAACAGTGGAGAATTCCGGTTCAGTCTGGAAATCCACATAAATCATGAGAACAGAGGACTGGATGTTCATGGAGAAGATGATGCAGGAGGCATTCCACTTTCAGATGTTAGTGGAGATCATACTAGAAGCAGGCGTCAAAGATCAAATAGTCCTGTGGCTAGGCGAACAAGAAGCCAAACCTCAGTGCGTGTCAGTGGTAATAGTTCCAGCACGCCACGGACTAGGCGTGGTTTGGGGGAGCAAAATTCAGGAGAAGGGTCTTACTCAACAGTGGAACGATTAAGAAATGGGGCTGGGGGGCCAGCTGGCATTCCCAGGACTCGTGCTTCCCGTGCTCATTTCATTGATCACACAAATCAGCCAGGGGCTGGTGAACTCAGGCAAAGGGAGGGGCAGCGATTTGGGGCAGCGCATGTTTGGGAAAACGGGGCCAGAACGAATGTAACAGTGAGGAATACAAACCAAAGATTAGAGCCAATCAGGTTACGATCTACCTTCAGTAGTCGAAGCCGTTCACCCATTCAGAGACAGAGTGGCTCTGTGCATCACAGTGCACAGAGGGAGAGTGGGCCCTTCCAGCACACCTTTAGAAGGTCTTTTAGGAGGAGGGATGTAACTGATGGCTTTGCAGAGCAAGATAGAGAATCCAGAGGTACTCCAGCCACCCCATTCTCTAACTCAAGACTTGTGTCCAGAATAACTGTGGAAGAAGGAGAGTCCAACAGGTCCTCTGCTGCTGTGCGACGGCATCCAACCATCACACTGGACCTCCAAGTAAGGCGGATTCGTCCTGGAGAAAACAGAGACCGGGACAGTATTGCAAATAGAACTCGATCTAGAGTAGGGCTAGCTGAAAACACAGTCACTCTGGAAAGCAATAGTGGGGGCTTTCGCCGCACCATCTCCCGTTTAGAACGGTCAGGTATTCGAACCTATGTT